TCAGCAATGGACTGAATATCTTCTCTGTCGCGATAAAGGCCATCTTGTCCTGTCCAAGACCGATGGTGTACTTTCCAGTGCTGACACCATCATATACTTCCATAGCAGTCTGTTCGACACACTGTAGAAGAGAAGGGATGAGCAAGATGAGATTACCATGAGTCCAATGAGACTTACTCTTGATGGGAAGTACATTTCGAGGGCAAGGATGCCGACATTCTCGGGATAGTGATCGTAGCGAGACATGATGAGTAGAGAAAAAAAGAAGTGTAGGTTGGGAACAAAAGGACACCGAGCGCGTCGACTTTATTATCTTTTATAGAATCTAGGGTGAGACAAAGAAATTGGCTCTGGTCCTAAAGTTTGGCCAATAGGAAGGCAGTAAAAATGTTTTTTTTGAAGAGCAAAAAAAAAGGGGGGGGGGGGGGGGGTGAACGGAGAGAGAGAGAGTGAGGGAGAAGAAGGGAGAAGAAGGGAGAGAGGGGTGGGGGGTGGAGGGGAGTATTGAAGAAGAAAAGGCCGACATGTGTATATATAAAATACAAAACTTATTTATATGTATAAAAGAATTATTATTATTATTATTATTATTATTATTATAATTCTAATTGGAATTACAGTTACAAGTACAGTTACAGTTACAATTCTAATAATATTTGAAATTGGCTATGGAATTCTACACAGTATATATATGCGTGTGCACATCCTTCTCTGCCTATATGCCTATGACTATGGCTATGTCTATGACTGTGTTTGTGCTTGTGCTTGCGTCTGTGCTTGAGTCCGTGCCTTTGGATGTAGACGTAACAAAATAAATAAATAAAAAATAAAGATAAAGATAGATAGAGATAGTCACGCCATTTAGGATTTTTTTATATATATATAATATTATTATTATTATTTTGAAATAGTGTCCGCTTTCCTTCTCTTTTAATTGTCACACCAATTAACCCATGGACCAAAGACTGTATTAAGAAGAAAAGATTAGGAAAGAGACATATGAATGTCACATTTAGACAAGTGAATTTCATTGCTGGGCCTACAATTTATATATATATATCTTATTCATTGAAGATCCAAAGGAGTTAATAATGAAATAGAAACTTTGAATTTTTTTTTCTGACTACTATCATTTTAAATAAACAATGAAGTAATGTACAGAATGATGGCTTATCTGCAAATTAGTATTAGCCTCACACAAAGCCATCCGACATACCGGGATCAATTCAATGCCAAGATAATCTAAAGAGGTCTATTTGGGCACATTTTGGATTTATCAAAAGGGAGCTTCCGTAAGCATTTCTTTTTTTTAAAAAAAAAATCTTTAAGAATCCTGCTCTAATTCACTCTATTTACTTTATATATATATATTTTGTATTAGCTGTACAACATTTGTACTGAATTCTTAACAAACTATTCGTTCACCGAAAATATATTATATATTTATATATATTATTGTAATAAAAAGCTTTCAAGATTCATCAAATTTTTGCACAGACATTTCCAAGAAGTAGACACATTTACAGTGTTTTCAATTATATAGACCTTGACTCCATTGCTATCATTTACAAATCAAATCACTTTTATTTAAATGCAAATGAAAAATAAAGAGCCACTAAATCAAGATCGAAGAGATAAAGATATATCTGGTACCTTGCCCTGAAATACGTATTAGCCCTTAGACACATACTTTATATATAAATATCTACATGTCTGATCGGAGCAGATAATATTGTGGAGCTTTCCTTATCGTCTTTTGATCATACACAGATTCTCTAAATATTATGTATGTCAATGGTAAATAAACTATAGGTTTTTGGGGATAAATTTTATACTAATTCGTCATTTCAAAACCTTGGTTTGCTTTCTAATAATTTTTAGCTATCTAGATCCAATTGGGGTATTCAATCAAACATTGATTGTATTTCGTTAATGCTTTTTGTATTACAACGTTGTCTATGTAAATAAAAAGATATACCAAATTTTGAACTTTAAAATGTATTTTCTTGTTCTCTGTGCACTTCTGAAGATCAATATCCACATTCTTATTAACTTTCGTTGTTGTTAATTAGGCAGGAGAGTATTACTGTGATCTAATGAAAAAGGTGGTAATAGTAAGGGCAATGGCTCAAACACCTTTTATATACCTTAATTTTAAATATAAAGTATAACGTATAATAAACTGAAGACATTTGCAAAATCAAGACTTTTTGTAGCCAATACTACGTATTCTTATTATAAGAAGGGGAAGTGACCTGCAAGTAGACAATCTAGAATATTCTTGCCATTGACTTCTAAAGAAATTATGATACCATGGCAACAAACCAAAGAATTGAGTTTAGTTACTTCAGAACGGCGGGTTTAACTTGGATCAATAATAATGACAATAAAAATTTTAAAAAAAAGAATGCTGTCATGATAACATTTTGTAAGTTAAAACTATAAATGGTCACGTGCCTAAAGACGTGCAAGTTCTGGATCAATATCCTCATCATTTTTTCTCTCCCCTTCTTTTTTTCATATTATACAAGTGCTTTATGAATTCTCATCAAGCTGCGCACCAATCGCGTATTCCAGAACAACAGAGCATCGGGCAAACACTCCCACCGGTGCCTGTAGGTGTCGACACCTTGAATGCACCCCCACTTCCATTTGGTGCCATGCCCATGGGCACACATCTTCAAGTGGGTCGATACCAAGTCGTCATCCACAACTTTATTGCTGAAGGTAATAAATCAACATATATATATATATATGTGTGTGTGTGTGTGTGTGTGGAATCGTTTAAAAAAATGTCAGAAACATGTCTAACCTATCATTCCTAAAAGGTGGTTTTGCTCATGTCTATCTGGCCCGAATTGAGGGCAAAACTGGATTCGTTGTCCTTAAACGAGTAGCCGTACCAGATACAGAAGCACTTAAGACAGTTGAAAAGGAGATTGCATTTATGGTAACAAATCAAACATATGAATACATGAATACATTACACCCAAGGTTGACATGATAATGGTAGCGGCGATTGGGTGAACACAAGAACATTACTCGATACTACGAATCACGCATTGATGTGATGCCCATGGGTGGATTCGAAGCCTTGATTCTGATGGAGTATTGCCCCGGTAAGTTATTTAATACTCCACTTTAGTGTATTGTATTATACTGTACTATTTTCTTTCTCTTACATATATATATATAACACTAGTCTAATAAAATTGAAATATTCTTTGATGGGGGTTAGGCGGAGGAGTAATTGACCTGATGAACAGACGACTACAGCAACGTCTAACGGAGCCTGAAATTATAAAGATATTTAGCGATGTTTGCGAAGTAAGGACGCCAATGTATTGTATTGTATACACATATATACGAAAGATTATATTCTGATGGGAATCGATAAAATAGGCTTTAGCATATATGCACTATTGTACTCCACCAGTCCTTCACCGAGATCTCAAGGTAGAGAACATATTGATCTTGTCGCAGGACCATTACAAGCTGTGTGACTTTGGGTCGGCTGCACTTTCAAGGGGTAATTATGTACCGACCACAATTGGAGAAGTACAGCGACTAGAAGAGGATATACAGAGGCACACGACACTACAATATCGTGCACCAGAAATGATAGATATTTACCAGAAACGCCCAATCAATGAAAAGGCCGACATTTGGGCATTGGGTGTATTATTATATAAGCTGTGCTATTACACGACTCCATTCGAGGAGCAAGGTCAGTTGGCCACTCTCAATGCGCGCTACACTATACCATCCCAGCCCGCCTTTTCGGACAAGATGCGCCGTCTCATTTGCTCCATGCTCCAGGAAGACCAAAATCACCGGCCTAACATCTATCAAGTTATGAATTCGGTGTGTAGGATGAGAGGTATTGAATGCCCCATTCGCAATATCTATGGGGAGCCAGCCTCGCCACCTCATCCACCCGCAAAACCAACTAATGGTTCAGCCGCACTGTTCGAATCAATTCACACACAGCCCGAAATACCCTCCATCACCCCTATGCGACGAGGAAGACCCACACGCAATGAAAATACCTCAGATCCTTTTGATCCCGCCAAGTCAAATGTATCGCCTGGACAAGCATCCAACTCTGCGCAGACAAACAATAATAGTTACACCAGTAGTTCCAGGACAGCTCATCATCAACACAGTGTGTCTTTAGGGTTTGAATCAGATTTCAAGCCTTCGGCTGCCGTACTCTCTACTCCTCCACAAAATCCTACCAGCACAAGAAACACAAACGAAGTACCAAAGGATAACCTAAATGATGCATTCAATGTGACCAGCAACAGCTCTTCATTCAGAGGACATTCTCCTGCAAAATCAGATACTCCCTTTTCATCGACACCAACTGATTCACCTCGCAAATACTCTCCTGCCAAAGACCCATCCTCTTCTCCACCAAAAGGATCACCTGCATCCATCAATAGTTTGCCAGTGAAAATCACACCAAAACCAAGTAAAAGCATGGGTGCAGTACCCAGCAACAAAACTAGTGACACAAATGAGAATTTTAAAGATACATCTGTCAGGCACACTGTGACCGCAAATATCGAAGCTCGCCTACAAGCCTTCAAAGGAAACACACAACAACAGCAACAGGAACAACAACAGCCACCACCACCATCACCACCGCCCGCCCGTATTGAAGAAACCAATGTTCCTTTCCGACCCAAACCTCCCCCAAAGCCTGCTCGCTTCCGTACCGCCCGTTTACCAGATGAACCTTCTCTAACAGAATTTGAAGGGAAATTCCCAAGTGTAGAAGAACTTTCTAAACAATTACCCGTCAATTCGAAATCATAAAATCATAAAATCATAAATCATAAATTGTCTTTTCTTCTTCTTCTTTAAAGAAAATATACCGATTAATTAATGATGAGTTAATTGGTCCTTCTACACACACAAAATATAAAAAGAGTTTCAAGTGTAATAGATTTTGTACAAGAACGGTTATTTAAATGAGTGCAGTACATGCTCTAAATGCGTGCATATAAAGTGTCGAGATTCGGTTTAAATTTCAGCACAAGAAAAAAAAACAAAAATTGCAATATATTTTTAAGCCGATAATTAACTAGAGAATAAATATAAGTTGAAGTGCTCATTACACAAACATAAATATAAATGAAACATCCTCTTTGTCTCCTCAGTCTACTCTATTCACCAGTCCAACTGATGGACAGTCCCTTCATTGAAGCCCAATTGTTCTTAAAAAGGGAATAAGAGATTGACCGTGACAGCGTTTCCGTGTGTCATCCGTCCCTAATCTGTCATTAAAATATGAAAAAGGCATCACTATTTTAGAAGAAATTCAAGTTTTTTTTTATTAAAAGCTTCTTATTACTTTCTACTTCATTCAACATGTGCGGCATCTCAGCACTCATTCTGGCCGACCAAAACGGAGCAGCCTGTGCAGACCTCTTTGAGAGTCTGGGTCTGTTGCAGCACCGTGGTCAGGTAAGAACCCGAAATAATTATTAAGCAAATCGATTTTTTTATATTAAATCAAATGCATATATATTTATTTTATAGGACGCTGCTGGCATTGTTACCTGTGGTCCTAAAGGTCGTCTCTTCCAATGTAAAGGAAATGGAATGGTGAGAGATGTATTTGACGAGAAGCAGCTATCTCGTTTGTTTGGTAGTCTCGGCATTGGCCATGGTAAGCAAAATACTTAATTCGATCTGTACAAGTAAAAAGATGATGTATTAATTAAACAATCAATGATATATTAATATTATTACTAATCTTTCAAGTACGCTACCCTACTGCGGGATCATCTTCCATGTCGGAGGCCCAGCCTTTTTACGTCAATTCTCCCTATGGGCTTGTATTAGCTCATGTAAGTTTGGCATTTTTCTCCAGACGTAAAGGAACCAATACAAATGCTTACATCAAATGCTTATTTAGAATGGCAATCTGACCAATGCAAGAGAGCTTCGTGAATTTCTGGACAAGATTGCCCATCGCCATATCAACACCGATTCCGACTCCGAATTGTGCCTCAATATTCTTGCCGACAACCTTCAGAAGACTGGCAAGTTCCGTATTAACCATGAAGATATCTTTACTGCTATTCGTGATCTCTACCAGCAATGCAAGGGCAGTTATGCCTGTGTAGCTATGATTGCTGGCTATGGTATTATTGGTTTCCGCGATCCTCACGGTATCCGCCCCTTGGTTCTTGGCCGTCGCTCTACTTATGCTGGTTACGATTATATGCTTGCCTCTGAAAGTGTTGCTCTGGAGGCACTTGGTTTTACTGACATTGAAGATGTCAACGCCGGCGAGGCAATTATAATCACCCGTGGAAAGGTCCTTCGCCGACGCCTTGTTGAAGTGGAAAACTTGGCACCCTGTATCTTTGAATATGTTTACTTTGCACGTCAAGATAGCATTATTGACGGGATCTCTGTTTACAATTCCCGTTTGTCTATGGGAGAGGCTCTTGCTGACCAAGTAATCAAGACCTTGGGTCCCAAACTTGATATTGATGTCGTTATTCCTGTACCCGACACAAGTCGTGTAGCTGCTCTTGAGCTGTCAAAAAAGCTCAACATCGACTACCGTGAAGGTTTTAACAAGAACCGTTATGTCGGACGTACTTTCATCATGCCTGGACAACACACCCGTCGCAAGAATGTCCGTCGTAAGCTGAATGCCATGGCCCTTGAATTCAATGGAAAGAATGTATTGTTGGTGGATGATTCAATAGTACGTGGTACTACTTCCAAGGAGATTATTCAGATGGCCCGTGATGCTGGAGCCAAGAAGGTGTACTTTGCCTCATGTGCACCCCCCATTCGATACCCCAATGTCTATGGTATTGACATGCCCACCCGCGACGAATTGGTAGCCCACGGACGAAACGATAACCAAATTGCCGAAACTATTGGTGCAGATAAGGTCATCTTCCAGGATTTACATGATCTTATCGAGTCCGTGCGCCGTTTCAACCCAGCCATTCACACCTTTGACACTTCCGTATTCGATGGCCATTATGTGACGGGTGATATTGACGAAGAATATCTCTCACATCTTGAAGGTTTCCGTAATGAAGACTCAAAATCAAAGGCTGATACCGACAGCGATTGTGTTGGTCTCCACAACAACTTTGTTATGCCTTAGAAAAACCTCCACTTCCATATTCTTCCTTACTTCAACCATAACCTTTTTATACAAAACCCTTTTAGCATTTTGGGTTCAAATTGCACACTAGAAACAGAACAAATATACATCTTTATTATATATATATATATATACATACACACACATGATTGATATGAGTACCCGTATATTCACTTTTGATTCTTTTTTAAAAATATATACAACTTGTAAATATGTGTGCTTATCAGCAATTTACTCCAATATTAACACACCTTTATACGTATATATACATAGGGTGTTTATATGATTAAATGCTTTTAGAATAAATGTTGTATTTATATACATGCAGAGCAGGTATCATCTTTAACTTGTAGTATTATAACAAAAAGCTATTTTCGCCTCTACTTTAAATAATATCAATTTAAAGCATAGTATACAGTACACAAAACAAGTTCTTTTAAAAAAATATATTAGTAAGCACTAAGCATTTTTGCTTTAATGTCCATTGTAAGTAGTAGAAAAATCATAGATTTAATCAATTTTTTAAAGAAATACTATGAAAACAAAAGAATTAGAGAATATAATGCGTTACTTTATTACAGTTAGAAAAGTGGAACATCTCATTCAACTCCTTATAAAGCCCATGTACATTTTCTCCTACGTACAAATCCAATTGAAGACCTCTTGAATCCTTACGTTGTTGCCGGTATCCACAGAAGAAGGCTGTACATCTTCGAAGGATACTTTGAACCATGTGGGCTCTCACCTCAGTTATTCTAGCATCTGCTACAAGGCGGCGGAGGAGTTTTCATCGACGTAATATTACATGTTGTTTTCTATATTCCTCATCTAGAAGACATAGATAATCTGTCTTCCGCTACTTGCTGGAGTCTCTATCGGGATTTTTTTGTACTGCTTATATAGGAATTGTACCATATATACAGACTCACATATATCTTTTAGTAGCTGAAACTTCCAGAAGCGTCTCAAATACTAAATTGAAACACTCCACTTTGCTTTAACCTGTGTGTAGCTTATAGCTTAAAGTTTGATTTTATTCTCATAATACTTCAACATTGTTATTAAACTTGACGTCATATTATCACGGGCGATATTTGCTCTGGGGTTTCATTTCTTGATACTCTTTTCACAAACAATTTACACAATAAAGCGTTCAAATTTCCAAGACAATATTATTTCTCATCAGTAGTACAATTCATAGGCTAATTCCTGTCATACTCATTAATGACCAAATTATTACAATTTTTATACAGAAAACAAAAGTTTATTATCACACAGATTATGGGATAATTATTGAAAATCCACTATAAAATATTGAGGGTAACTGACATGTTTGCCAAATATCGGAGCTATGTTTTTTTACACTATATCCCGACGCATATCATATAAATCTAATTTTCTTTTGGATATTTCAATGGGAAATTTCTACTACTCTTCAAAAGAAGAAAAAAAAGTCTACGTCACCTAGAAATACTGAATCTTTGGTACAAAATAAAAATAAAAATTGAAACATATTCCTGAATTTCAAAAAAAAAGACGGACATCTTTCTAAATAAACGCGTCGCTCTCTCTTTCTCTCTCTTATACAATTATTAATATATTATATATATTATATTAATTTTGTTATAGCTTTGATTAGTTATAAAAAAAGAGAAAAGAAAAGACGAATACGAATACGAATAAAATTAAGAATAAGAAGACCTTACATTTAATCACTGAAGGCCAAAAAAAAAGTGCATTCAAATAATCTCAAACATTTTGATCAATCTGTCATGTGCGCGCTTCTAAGTCAGATAGATCAGCAAAAGAATGATATGACCACTCTCACACCAAACATCGACCATAGCGTGAAAGCTGGCATAACACTAAAAGCTTTGGCTGAGCTCGATTGTCCGCCTGGAGATCTGATCAACTATTTCAAGGGTAAACAGCATCATCTTTTCTCTCTCTTCATCGTAGCAATCTACAACACCAACAAAATCAAAAAACACCACCACTACTACCACCAACAACAACAATCGATGACTCATCCAATCTACTTTGCATTTCAGACACACAAGAAAGACAACAAAGTCTAAAAAATAGCGAGCCACAGACTGAACTATTGACCATCGGTAGACAAACCTTCCCAAGCATATTCATGGAGGCCCTCGAAAGTAAGATTGATTTATTGCGTTTAGAAAATAACGAAGTAATGAACATTATACCCGTACAGAAATGGAGTATCAACATTACATGGGGTTAATGGAAGAGATTGGATATTTGTGGAGAACTGTCGACAATCGATTGATTATGTGGAACTATATTGAACGGTAAACAACAATAAAGAAAATAACAGCATACGAAAACCATTCCAACCAGAGCTTACTCTAAAGGTTTTGTCTGTTAGCGATGATATACTTGTTCACGAAGAACCAGAGCAACCAATTACAACTGTTGGGCTTGTCAAACGAAAAAGCGGTACTGCAAACAAACAAACAAACAAACCAAAAATCCAGATGGTTATATTTTATAGAAATTATTTCTAATATAACATACCCATATATGTATAGCATTTTGCGGGTTTGACTTGACCCACATAATCGTCGTGGCGACACCATTACAAATTACCCTACTCGGAGTTGCTGCAGCATCCGCAAATCCTCTCAACAAAGGCTACAAAGGAAACAGAATTCAGATGCACAACCTGAATGTTAAGGCACCTGCAGACGACCTTTGCTTTCTGGAAATTAAAGGCACTGAAGATGAAAGAATTTTGCTGTTAGCTACAGACGGACATTTGTATGAAATGGAGCACTATGTAAGATGCACAACATTTTTGCAGCATATTCAAATATATTGTCTAATGCTTTACTATGGGACAGAGTATAGGTCATTTCTCGCTCGGGGGTAGTAGATTAGTTTGCCTGACAAAGAATATGCTATACAAATACCTTCCAACTTCTTTTGACAAAGCGCCAAAAGGTAAATTAAAATGAAATACTGACATAATCAATTGTGTACAAAATTCCTGAAATAATATTAATATAAATATTGATCTATGTGAAATCTAGGAAATATCCAAAGTTTTATAGTCTGTGATCAGCGCAAGGTCATATATGCACTCACCAGCAACAATGGAATCGAAGTAAGGAAAAAGTATATGTGTTCATAAAATCCACCCATAAATGTGTGTGTATGTGTGTTTTAAAATTCCCAAATATCAATGCTTGATTTAAAACAAAAAAAGGTACTTTCATCGCCCGGAAAAGGTGCAACTGTCAAACGACTGGCACAGACAGGCGACATTAAAGAGACAGCTACTCGTATCGCTAATCCAAGTGGATTAACACGCTACCAAGACGATTTCCAGCTTGTTTCGATACATTTGATTTCAAAGGAAGAGTCTGAACGTGTTCATATTCTCGGAGTATCCATTACGGGTGCTCGGATCTATTTCACCCATCTGTCAGACATACGCTTTGGTGCCTCATTAGGCCCCAATGAACAACCAAAAACAATCAAAATTGCCCATGTAATACTATCACCTAATTACGAACCACAGGGGATATTCTCCTTTATTCAACAAGACCAAATCGATAATTCAAAGACTGTTCTGGGATCTTACTACAACAAAAATGTGTTTTTGACGGCAAAGGGAAAAGTCGCTGGAGAAAAGATTGTTAGTGTAGCTAATCTTGAACGGGTGATTGTCACAAATTATGGAAATGATTCGAATTTCTTGGTAATTACCTTAAATATACGCATACACTCATATATATATATATATGCATGTGTTCTGGTTACAATGTAAAATCATGTCTTCTCATATTATTTTGTGATTTTCGTATTAATACATAGACCTCTACTTATATCGAAACCACCGCTTCAATAGAAAACCATGAAACCATTTATGGTATTGGAGAAATAGACGAGAAATTTTATCGGGAAACATCAACTGGATTACCCAAAGACATACGCCAGTTCATTATCCTTGGACACTCTAGTATAACGACAATAGCACGCGAAAGACCTGTTGATGGCCTCCGTCGATTAATTCTTAAAACAATCAACTCCGAGACAATCGGTAGTCCAGAACTTAACGCCTTTTTTGAGCGATACGGATACACACAAACATGTGCAATGTGTCTAGAAATCATTTGTGTTGAATCCGGGAAAAAAGATAGTGAATCAAGTAAGTCTTGTTTATGTGTATACAAAAATGTGGGGTAATTGTAAAAGGGCTCTTCAGATTTTTTTTAAAAAAAGAAATATTAGATAAGAAGGGTTGGAAATCCAAGTATTGATTAGAAATTTCAAACTTTTTACGATTGGATCTTTTTGATATTCTCGCTCTATAAATTGACTTTTATACAAAAAAATAGATGCACTCGTAAAAAAAACTACTTTGGTTTTCTTTGAGTATGGTGGACAACCTTCAGTGGGTCTTTCGATGGCTTCAGAAAAGAACTATCAAGGCCAAACAAGACCACGACCAAGAACAAAATTTAGTGTGAAGCATGACGGTCTTGGATTATATTTGGTTCGTTTATTGAGACCTATATGGAAAAAGAAAATCTTCCCCCTCAGGTACGAGCATATAATGTTATTGTAAATTAATCAGACTATACACACGTATATATATGGTACCCATTAACATTAATAAATATTATCACATATCTATAGTTCCGAGGGCAAATTTACAACAAATACAGCCACATTACGTAAACAACTTTCAACAGTGCAAAAGGAACTCTGGTCCCTTCGACATTTTATGAAAGAGTAAGCAATTTGAGCTTATTTATTTTTAAAAGGCATTTTATAACCAAGTCTATATCTTCAGAAATGATTTACTGCACAAGGTTCCCAAGGATTTTGTGCCCTCTACGCAAAGAGAAAACCAACTGTGGATCTTGGTAAACTGAGTGAAAAAGAGATTGTTATATATAGTGTGTACTAAATATATATGTGTGTGTGTTTATTTTTGTTAATTCAAGGACGAACAAATGTCTTTTTATGAAATGTCTACTTTGATGACACACACCATCGAGTCAATCTGTTTCTTGAGCGGTATAATGGAGACAGGCGTTGAAAAAATATACCAGCAGTAAGTTGAAAATAATAATTGATGGTGGATCGTATTCAAGAATGGATATGGATATTAATTCACCATGTTTTGAAAACATAGACTTCAGACTCCCTCCAAAGAAAAGTTTACAGACTTAACAGTCGAATTTATTGTAACAACATTTGATGGCAGAGACTTAGTCAGAGAGCTTGTAATTTCAATTATCAATGCTCGGGCTACCTTAAAAAATACTGGCGGATTTGAGAGCGTTGCTTCTCTACTACAGAAAAATGGAGATACCTTATTCCCAGAAAAAGACATTGCATTCTACAAGGTAAACATATAATTACATAAAAAATAGATCGATACTGCATGTATTACTATTCAGATATATTGAAAACTAAATATACCAATAGGGCATTGAAGCAATAGTAAAAGCGAAATCCGCTGGAGTAACTAACGAGGATAGTGAATTTATGAAAGAGGCTCTAAGTTATTTCAAAGAAGCACCAAGCGACTTATTAGCATCTAAACTTGATCAAATATGTGACGAATTCCGTAAATTGGGATGGAATAAGGCAATTCTTGATTTGGCCATTTCTAGAGCAACAAAAGAAGACCCTTACAATAATGCAATGATGTTTCTGGAAAATGGCTCAAACCCCTCCAACCCGGATGCAAAATTCTACAAGGCGCGGCATATCTATTATTCTCAAGTGCTCAAGACTATCATTAACCTCAAACCAAAAAATCCAAGAGATGAGTCCTGCCAGTCTCAAAAATATCGTTCCCTGTTTGAAGCTGCACGGAATCAGAAAGAAGACACAGTTTTCCTTTACGTTCTTTATGACTGGCTATTCCAAAATTGTCTCTATGGTGATTTGTTTAGTCTTCAACCTGATAACCTTTTGCCTTTTGTTCGAAACTACGTTGATCATGTTCAAGGTATCCGCTTCTTATACAAATACCATCTCCACCGCAATGAATTTTTTGAGGCTGCGATGTATGTACGATTATTAGCCGAACTTGATCCCAATGCAAACCTCGATGAACGTATCTTTTACATGGGTCAAGCATGCACTTTTCTCTCGAAATTTTTGGTGCTTGGGGGAAGTACTGAAGAATCCTGCAAGCTTGCTAAAGTCTCAGAACTGCAACATAAGACCCTGAAAATTCAAAAGGAAATTCGAGACAACCTTTGCCAACAATCTGGTCGTGTGGTTATGACAGACAGAGAAAAGATAATGCTCAACAATATACCGATGTCATTAAATGATATGTTTGAACTTTCCCGGCGGTATAATTGTCCAGATGGGGAGCTCCTGGTTTTGAGTATGGCTTATCAGTGTAACTTTAACTTGGTTCAGGACCTTTGGAAGCAAATTCTAAGCGATAGTAAGTTGTAAAATATGAGGTTTACAGAAAACACACGTGTTAACTATTGTTGTTATGACGTTAGATGAAAAGGAGGCTGATTGGCTTCGCGTATCTCCTTTCCAGACCTTGAAAGGTCGTCTTATTCGTTTGTGCAGTCAAGTACTCGAATCTAGAGTTGTTTTGCCATTGCGTAAGTTAATGCGTTACAATTTGACTACATGTGTATTTATTTATATACTAATATTTGGAAAATAAATGTACACACGCAGCCTATGTCATCCAGATATTAGAGGAGTATTGCTTCAATCATCCAAATAGACCATCTCCTGAATTTATTAGCCACATTTTCTTGAGTTCCGGTGTTAATATCGAATCATTGAAAGCCGCTTATGCAGAGGTTTTAAATTTCAAGGTATGTTTGACATATAATAAAATACCAAAGAGTGTTTCGGATTACTTATGGTGAATATTATAGAGATCTTCTGGGCGCTCGGTAGAAGAACAGAGACATCTTGAGATGATATCGGAACAGCTGAATTCAAAGGAACAACCTAATGCAAATGAAAGTGGAAGTCCGGCTCGGCTTGCTAGATCATAACCATGATAAATATATATACATCTAACAAAAGAAAATGTACATCTCTCCCTCTTCTTCCTCAAATTCCCCTATCACAAACACAATCTCAACCCACACTTACACCATTTATACACATGCAAAGCCAAGAAAAAAAAAATACACAAACTAAACGAAAAGACAAGGCAACTTAAATTCCTTATTGTAAAATATAAAAAAAAAGAAATGAAAAACGCACAAACTCTTGTAAAAGCATTTTATGGATTGGTAGTAAACAACAGGTAGTTTTTATATTTATATGTATATATCATTATTGATCTGTGTTCATTTGGGTTAGTTACTCGAATTGAATCCAAGACTCTTAAAGAAAAGCTATAAAAAATGCGTCTTGTTCCAAACCAAGATAAATAAATAGGATTCTCTCTTCATGTCATGAGTGTTACAAGAGCACCCAAGCTTCTGAATAAATGAATGAATGAATGCATGAATAAGTGAATGAATGAATATAAAAAAAGATAGCTAAGAAATAAAGAAAGAAATAAAGAAAAATGTGAATTTGTATCTGTGTAGATTTGGCAAGAGGAGAAGGTGTACGGAATGGATATATAATGAAAAGTCCCTTTTCTTCTTCTCCTTCTTTTCTCCATCTCAATATCGATTCTTCTGTTGTTGTTGTCTTCTTTTTCTTGACACTCTAATGAGATGCATGATTTACCAACAGCTGATTCTGAGAGTTGTTGGGTTGGGAAGCCATTCGCTGCATTGGGAAAGGATGTGATTGAATGGGGTGATGGTAGTTGAGAGTAGAGTTCAGGGGAGAAGGGTTGGGATGATTCATGTCAACCGGTGACGAAGACAGGTAGTAAAGTGAGGATTGGTTCGACGGTAGTGATGGTGATGGCTGTGTTGGTTTTGTAGATCCATGGCCCATTACTGCTGCAGGAGATGAATGTTGTCTCGGTAGAGGAGGCATTCCTCCGCCAGCGGATTGTTGTCGTCTAGGTACCATAACTGTCTGGCATTTCTTTAAAATGTCTTTTGCATTGAGCTCTCTGTCACATTCAGTATACGACAACTTTTGTAGCATCGGTACAAAATCTTCTGGGACCTATAATACGTTTATAATTAACATATCATTTACTTGATTATATATATCGTGCTTGACTTACAGTGCAAAATTCTTCTTGATACTGCAACAACATGTGTACTGCCTCAATAGCCGGGAATGACTCTTCTTTTGCTGGATCCTTGCTCTTGGGGTATAGAATATTGGGAGCCAACACAGTGGCTAAATTCATCAGGTCCATCTTGCTGCCTGATTCTTCATCAACATGGGAGAACGTAGCTACCCATTTCATGAACAGAAACAAGACCTCCATCGTATCTCGATTGACTTTAGGGAGTAAACAGCAGATAAGATGAAGCGCGCGCCTTCGATCTTCTTTACAATCGAGCTCTAATAATAATAATTATAACAATAATAACAATAGCAGATATATAGATATATTAATAACCTTGGATGTATCAGTACATCGTCAAACATTTTTTTAGCTTTACTTTGTGCAATAATAAACAACCGATAAAGCTTGAAAGTCAATAAAGGGTCTGGTAATTCACGTAGGAACTTCTTTGTCAGAGCGGCAACTTGAACAGGTGTCTCATTAATGAGTTGGATGCCATTTGGATTCCTGTCTATTTCTTCGCACGTGTCCTTGAGACGTCGTATGTTTCCATTCTTACGAAAGATACCCTCGATCGACATGTCTAAATAAACCAAAGTTAGATAATAATGTGATAAATGAGTTATATAAAAAATAAAGTGTTCTTTTCATTACCCATTTGCTTCATGGCAGAGATGCTGTCATCAATAAAGGTTGGGATCCTTACACCAGTGGACCCCATTCCCAAGTTAGATTCTACTCCATTCTTTTCTATCAATATATCCAAAGGAACTCCAAAGGTTCCCTCTAAAAAAAGTTGTGGTAGTATATCAATATTAGGGTCAATATTTATAAAATTCAAGTAAGTTATGGTATACCTTTAGTCCGTGGTGTTTTTTTGACTCCGCCTGCTTTAAAGCTCGTAAAGAACTTTCCCCAAAGAGTAGAGTTTTTATTATCATCGATCAGATCGACAAGCTCCTCCATTGAGAAGTGTTCTCTGAGCATCTCCTCTAGGTGTAGAACTGAAATATGCTTGACCATGAAGTGCTCGAGCGCACTCAGTTCAGTAAAATAGCGAGAACGTGTTTCTGGTCCTGCATTGGCTTGCTGACGGGCACGTTGACGGGGTGTGGGATTCTGAGCAATATCCATATGGTGTTGTTGGGCTGCTACCAGTTCTGGAATATCTTCGAGAGTCAGAGCATCTTCTTTTCCAAGACGTTGAAGCTGAACATATGTTACGTCTTCCATATGTGATGAATCTGTATTGTTGGTCTCATTCCACTGCTCATTTTGCCGGCGAGAATTAGTTTCGTGAGGTTGGTTGGTAACATAGGCTGCGTTCGGACTTGGGGTTTCCAAGAGAGTTGATCGTTTTGCAACACGATGTGAATCGGTTAGTCTGCTCTTTGCTCGAGTAGATTTGAGTCGTTTTATGTCACCCAGGTTGATTTTCTCGAGTGGGTTGTCGGTATTAACGAGTGAAGTTGTACGACCCCCCGTTGTATTTATTCCAGGAGGTGTTTCTTTGGTTTGAACCGTCTGTGCACCTCCGTTTACCTGTTGTGTTACTGGGTTATCTAAAGACCATATGTAGAAAATTAATTATTAGGCTTTTTTCTCTTACTAATTTTAAAACAAATGAAAGTAGAAATTGCTAAATAATAGAATTCATTTTGTCCTACCATAGACACTCAGTATACCATACAGGTGGCGGAGGGATGTTCTAAGCAGAAATGAGTATTGTTGCAAAGGTGTAACAAGTTCAAAGCCCTGCTTATATCCGTCGGTATTCACAATGCATCGCTTGCACATGAGAGTCAGTCTAGAGGTGTGCAGAAAGGCGTCTGCATATTCACTACGTAAAAGGTTTTTGCACTTTGAACATTCGAAGCAACCGTCGTGCCACAAGTTGTTGTCTGATTTGAAACACTGATCTTCACAAATGGTGCCGCAACTTTGACAGAGATCTGATGGCGTGAGTCGCTCTGGAGTCATGGGTGAGCCGCGTTGCTTATTTGCCAACTCCATCAAATGACAAAGGAATCTTCCGATAGACATTGGATCAGGCTCCTGCATGCGTTCCTATTGTCCATGCATAAAGAGATGGAGCATTAGTATATATATATACATATACATACATACATATACATATATATATATAATTCTGATTTTGAATTTGTTGAGTAAGGAGCAATAAAAATAAAAGAAATCAATTGTTGATGTACCAGTCGAAGAGCTCCAGTGAGACCGATACGAATAAGTAATTTAAGATAGTGCGCTAATCCGGTAACAAGTGTGAGGAGTTCCTGAGTAAATCCAGGTCGTCGTGTACCGGTTTCCTGGGTGTGGGATAATAAGGCAAAAAAGCTGGCGATCTTTTTGCAGAGCATTTTAGCCTCTCGTTCGTGATGAAGTTCTTCTTCGGTCTGGTAATGATATTGGTCAAGTAGATCATCAATTGCACCGAACAGAACCTCGACATGTGTAATGAAATTATCAGCCTTCTTGACACCGTCCAAGTAGCTTCCTACGGAGACATGCAGTAACATGTCTGAAATGCAGGCGGCGGCAGATTCTGTGAAACCACGAGTTGGTTAGGAGTCAAAAAAGGAAAGGTGGTTGTCCTTTAATTTTTCACTAGAGAAAATATATGTACAAAAAAGCTTACCTTCAAAGGCTGATAGGACGGTCCAAATGCGATACACCTTTTCTTCCATGCCATTTTGTACATTTCTAGACTGATCTACAGCCTGTGTGTTATGATCTGATAAGGTATAGATATAGATCAAGAAAGAATAACAGAAAAGAAATTATATATTAATTTAAATACTTTAATATATTTATTATTGAGCTGATCAGTACAAATTGATCCTACACACGATACCTGCCTGATATTTGCTGATCTGCTCCTATATTCTGTGCATCTGATGGCTGGGCGAGCTTAACGTTCCAGAACTAAAAACAATACAAGAATATAGAGGTATAAAGTACAAATTTGTTTAATAAACCAGACCAATAAAAAAATTATTAATATTATCAATATTACTATTATCTTTTTTACTTGCTTTGTGAACCATGTAGCATTCGGGATGCCAATGTTCGTCGATGCTATTTCGATTAATCTCGACAAATTGTTTGAGAATAGCTGACTGACAGCCAGAACATTTGATAGCAAATTGGCTGGAATAATGCTCATGGCAGTATACATTGTTTTCGTGCTCATAATATGAATCGTCAGGTCCAAAAAGAACAGAACAAACGCTGCAGCTGAAATGATCCATATGGAATTTTTTACCGACGGCCGTGATGTAGGATCCGCGCAGTGCATCTCCGCAGTTATCACAAACCAGCTTTAGTCTTCTGAAATAGTCGCGCTCACAGAGGGGGTGTTGGCTACCATCAATAGCATCAATGGGAAAAAATTTAGAAGCTACAGGCTCGTGGCAGTCCTGTAATATAGAAAAAGTAGAAATTTTGGGTTTTTTTTGTAGTAGGATTTTTTTTTGGAACAACGAATCACCGACAAGAAAGGTGTGAATGAGTTTATTATTATTATGATTAATATTAATATTAATATTAATATATTAGTATTGATATTATTTTTTATATTTCTATTATAATTCATATTATCATTTACCAGACAAACAAAGCATTCCCAATGGAAGGTGCCATTCAAGGCGCGCACAAATTTTCCGTCAAATGGAAGTTGGCAATAGCCACAATGAAGTTCAGATGAGACTGGTGGAGAACAGGAGAGCGGATCGGTAAGGTCGCATGGCGATGCCTTTGGTGGAGTCTCAGAAAGGGACATGAACGATGGCGGGGAGGTGTTAAAAAGAACGACAAAAGGAGCGATGAAGGTTGAATGTAGAACAAAGGACGAGGTAAAGAAAAAACGATGAAGAAAAAAAAATAAGTATCGAGAGGTAGGAAGAAGAAGGAGGGGAATCACAATACTGTATTTGGAATATAAAATTGCACTATTTTAAGATAATTTCATATCCACAGCAGTACAAATTCGCGATTATTGCTAGAAAAATATGCGTTTTATTCATTATAAATTGCGCTACTAATCATGTTTATTGGCTTTGGTTTTTATATTTTTACAAGATGATATATTAGCATCATCCCAATTATTCAAAATATTCCCTTCAATGCTAGTCTAACTTTCGCAATGGCTACTTTAGCTACTTGAGGAGTTGAGGTGGAAGGATCCCCAGCTCTACCGCTTTAATTGCATCTATGCCACATAATGTTGTCTTTACTTTCCAATAAACAATACAAAAAATCTTTGAATAGGTACAATGTATTGAACTTGCGCACACACACACATATATATGTATATATGATATGATTGTTTGTCATTGTAAGTATTCTTACTTAATTTGTTTGATGATTTACGCTTGAAGAAATTATACAGTGTGTCGAATTATATTACTTTTATAATTAAGTAACTGATCGAGTGGGGTGTAATTAAACAGACATATGTCAAAAATCTATATTAGATCATATTATATGTAGTTTATAGTTTATTATAATGTATTTAAGCAATATTGACCAAAAAGAATAATTGTCTGGCAAGTATTTTGATATTAACAAAATTCCATTAAGCATCGAAAGTATCAGCTTAATAAATACAGCATTTTACACAGTAAAATCCGCATTAGTGAGCCCTAGCCACATCAAGTCGCAATTAGCCTACTGCTAAAGAAAGTTCACTTGTATTCCAGGGTTTTGTTTTTGGTTTTTGTTTTTGTTTCTTGATCGAATAAAGAACCAAGACTGAACTAAGTTTATACAGCAAGCCATAATACTATAATACAGTGCTTTTACTTAAGATTGAGATGAATTTGTATTTTTTATAGAAACATTTGTTTTAATCGCAAGTGAAAATACCGTAATACACTTTTTTCTCGAACGGACTATGAACGTAAATTAATATGCAAATATGGAAGTCCTCTGGAAGTTTTTTTTTTATTTATTTACCTTTACTTGTCTCTCTCGCTCTCTCACTCTTAGTGCATTTACTTTAGCGATCAGTGCATATAATACGTTTAGCATAGTAAAGTTTTAGATCATTACGGCTATATTGTATATGGATCTTTTTTTTTTATTTTCAAATCTTGGTAAATATTGATATTATAGAATATATGTGTATAAAGGGATTTGTTCATATATTCTGTGTATTAAAGGTACTCAATCTGCTTACAAGCAATTTAGGTAGACAAAGCCATAGATAGACACATACACACTAGTCTCATGATATGTAGTTAATAAGTAGGAACGAGGAGTAATACTTTACTTTAAGCTTTTTTTTCTCATAATACACTTGTCATACACACAAAAACAATTCGTTTGCACGAGTCCACAAGATACATTTTAATATTTTCAAGTTGATTTAGTGTTGTGATTCCCTTATTCTCATTCATTTAAACTACCTGTGGAGTACCGCAATTAAGATATTAGAGTTGCCTCCTTATCACGTGGTAAGTTATATCCGTAGAATATTGCCAACAAGGATATATCTTTCAGCCAAAATAGAAGTTAAAACATAGCTTATTTGAATAAGCCAAAGAAAATACCAGACATCAATGGATGCTATCTGGACAGCAGTCCATTATTAACTCAATTAAATAAGCTCGCGCATGGAGCTTGGTTTTTCCATTTTATATTTCATACATTATTGTCTACAAAAAACAATAAAATAAAATAAACACAGCACTTCTTTAATGTACATCCTCAAGTGCATTATGCTTTTTTTTAAAGTTTACTGGATATAGTAATTAACCGGAGCTAGTACAATTGTACCTTAGAAACACTGCCATTGAAACTAATAATATTTTTACAAACTTTCGTTTCGATTTCCTAAAAAAAAATATGCTTTTTGTTACTCACTAAAATAACCTTACAAACACCCAATTGAATCAAAAATAATGAGCTCAATAGAACCTCTAATCACAGCAATTGTAAACTATTGTCGTGTTCTTGATGAGGCCTCAACTCCAAGAGTGAAATTATGGAACCACTCCTTTCTTGAAAAGTGTTCGGAATGGTGCTTATTTATCGAAACCGAATTAATGATTCATTCCAAAGATACAAGGGAAAAATGTTATCAGCTGGCAAGCAAGAAAATCGAATATGTTCCGAGTTTATTGCATTTACTAGATGCACAGCACCAGCTCTACAAGACACTTCTCATCAATGAACATGTGACTCTTGATCTCTACTATTTCATAATGAAGACATATGATTTCTTAAATGCAGCAGGTCAGCCAAGACCTGATATACTAACAAAGGTATGAAATATTCATACATAATATAGTACATAAAAAATGCTGTTTAGAAATTTATTTAATTATATTATGATTAAGGACCTGACAACTCTCACACAAAATGCAGCCACGCAAGGGGTTCTATGTGAAATGCATAAAATACTTGATCAATAAAAACAAAAACAAAAAAAAAGACGCTTTTTCACAAAGATTTTCTTTTGCCACTTGTACTTCTTTTTATTTTTAGTCTAATGAACCTTCTCTTTTCTTTTCACTACATTGTTTAAGCTCTGACCCAGTTCATCAATATGCATATTGTGGCTTGCAAGCGATTTTTTCCTTTTGAGGGTGTGACGTAGAATTCAACAGCGAAAGCCAAGATTACTGTGAAAGTTCAAATGGTGAAATTAGCAAATCTGGGCACAAAGATGGGTGTAAATAGCCGCACTGCTACATTCTGCCTCTCACAGCACACAAAATAAAAAGCGGCCATGGCAGCAAAGAATCCCAAAAGCGCTGCGCTAGATCAAAGTTTTTATGAATTACCAGAAACAGTTGCTTGTTTCGAGTCTATTCAAGGCCCATTGCTAGCCGAATTACAAGCCCAACAACGCGATCTTACTTTTGATGCGCGCGATCTCTCAATTTTGACTGGTCAATTACAACAGTTTCAACAAGAGTATCTCGGAGCTTACAATCGACCTAACAATGCTCCTTTAAGAATCCCCACTAAGTTATTTCGGATCGATCATGGGAAATCTATCAGTAAGAGGTCAGCTCTCTACAAGATTCTCCTAGCTGCCTATGAATACAGAATCACAAAAGGATGGCGTAAATGGGACTTTGGAAATCCAAACAAAAAATCCAAGCATGTAGATCTCTTTCAGTCAATCCGTACATACCTTCTTGATATGGCTATTATTACAGCACCAAGAATAGCCTTCTCTGACACGACACCAGAGTCGGCTAGAAAAACACTAACCGGAATGGCTTGGAAGATGGGAGGTAAAAAAATAATAATAGGAAACTATGAAGATCAGTAAGAAAAAAAGCAACTTAATTTTTATTTCATTTTTACAGTTCACGTCGCTGACAACATTAATTCTGCCACCCATATTCTATACGGACCTCTTCACGAATATAATGAGATCGAGGAAGAATGGCTTCGAACATTAGAAAAGAAAAACGGAAAGGTTCTAGTCCACTGGTGGTACTACCCTGACTCTTACGATAGCTGGCTGATACAAACAGATCAATTTGCTGATCCGGAAGAAGCTCCTAATCATAGCGGGCCTTGGCATATATCTTGTCGATGGTTACAGGATAGCTCAAAATTCAATGAATTGATGAACGAAGAAGACTACGAAGAAATTGACGCTGACGAAGGTTCAGAACCTGAAAACGAAGATGTGGATATGATACAAGCAAATGATGAGGAAGAAGATGAAGAAATAGAAGAGGAAAGAGAGATGAAGCATCACCAGCCCCAAATTAAACAAGAGCATATCCAAGAACATTATCAATCTCCCCAAAACCAACAGCAGCAACAAGAACAGCTAGATGAACAAGAAGAACAGCTGGATCAACAAGAACAGCAAGAACAACAGGAACAACAGGAACAACTAGAACAACTAGAACAACAAGAACAACAAGACCATCAAGAACAACAGGAACAACAAGATCAACAAGACCAACAAGACCAACAAGAGCACCAAGAGCGAAAGGCATCTCCAATACTACAAAACCAATCATATATCAGGAACCAAGATGATGATCAACATAGACACAAAAGGAAGATTAGTGAGGCTCATTCGGATATCGTTTCTGTTACATCAGAGCCTGCTTCTGCGAGCGCGAAAGAAAACATGTCAACGAATACACACATGCACCCATTTGACATGGTCCCTCCTACAGTCATCCCTGCGCCTGTTATTGATGTCAATTATCAGCCAAGTGTGCGTATTCGAGATATCGAACGAGAACGTCCCCAACTTGGAAGTCGACAACGCAAAAATGAATTTGAGCCTTATAGCAATGGTGATATCACAAATATTTCGCAACATACTGAAGCATTTATTGAATATCCAAGGCGACCCGCTAAGATGTTGAAATTAGACGAAAGCTACCAAAAAAAGCCTGGGGAAGTAATAGGTAAAAGAAGGAAGGGAGGGAGTAAGAAGAAGAGAGAGAGAAAGAAAGAGGCGATGTACCTGACTGCAGTCATATTTTTTAGACATTTCCTCATTAGCAAGTGTTATGCCTATCGATTATACCACTATCAATGCACCGAGTTGGTTTGATATCAAAACCGTGCATCAAATCGAAAAAATGGCGTTACCAGAGTTTTTTGATCCGCAAGGAAAGAAGTCTGAGCAATTGGCGAAAGATTATATGCATTACAGAGATTTTATGATTAACACATATCGGGCCAATCCTGATTTTTATCTGACTGCAGTTGCATGCAAGGATAAATTAGATGCTGATATCGTTTCTCTCGTCAGAATACACAGCTTCTTAGAGCTATATGGTTTAATCAATGCACAGGTGCGCACACGATAGAAATAATATGTAGTTATCATCGAAAATTCTCATGTTTCATTAGGTTGATCCTCGACGAAGAATCTTTGACCCATATGTGGATAGTGAACCTGAAGCAGGTGTAAAACCAAAGTCTCAGCGAGATTACAGAAACGTTAACAACGTCGATATGCAATACCTTCGAGATTTAATTTTTGATCCTTCTATTACCGCAGACAAGAAGAGCGCTTGGGACCTTTCAATTGAAGACGACACCAATCCTGATATTCGTAAGATATATGTCTGCTCAACTTGTCAGACCGATTGTAGTCTTGTTCGTTATCAATGTCTTAAGCACAAGCAAGTGTACCTTTGCATCGACTGCTTTCTCGAAGGAAGATTTACTTCCACTCTGTCTAGCGGGGACTTTTTACGCGTGGAAAGTAGTAATGATCGATATGGAACAGACGAAGAATGGTCTAATAGTGAAATACTTCGATTACTGGAAGGCGTGGATAAATATGATGACGATTGGTTGATGATTTCTGAACATGTGGGGATCCGCTCGAAAGAGCAATGTATCACACAGTTTTTACAATTGCCTATTAGCGATACGTTTCTTACTGCCCAATTGGCAGATAAAGAGTTAGAGGAACTTCCATTTGGTGATCAACCAAACCCGGTCATGACGATGATTGCGTTTATCTCAGGCCACATAAACCCTGGAGTTGGTGCTGCTGCTGCTAAAGCAGCATTGAAAGAGCTTCTTCAATCAGAGGAAGCCAAAAATGAAATGGACATAGACAATAATGATGATGAATACGACGATGAGGAAGACGAAGACGAAGAAGATGAAGAGAATGACGAGGAAGATAACGAAAGAGTTATAAAGGAAGAGAATGAGGACATAGACATTGATATTGATAATTCTCGGCATCAAGTGAAGAGTGAAAAAGAAGACACAATGAGCGAGCAAGAAAAACTGCTGTTTAAAGGATTGTTCTCTCCGGAAACAATGAAAAAGGCTACTATGGCAGGTCTCTTGAGTGCAGTCGAGCAAGCCAAAAAGTTAGCAAGTTATGAAGATCAAGAGATACAACACTGGACACGATTGGCTGTTAAAACTCTCGTTGATAAAATTTCGCTTAAAGTACAACAATACGATGAACTAGAGACGTCTCTTGATAACGAAAGAAAAGAACTCGAGAAACAAGGGCTTGTTCTTACTAGCTCTATTGAAAATCTTCACCGTCAATATGCGGCCACAACTGCTATTACTTCTGGTACTACGCCTGACATTCCTACTGCTATAACGCCTACTGCCTCTGCTACTGCCACATCTACATCCACTACTCCCGCCGCTACTGCTTCTGCTGCTGCTACTACCTCTACCGCTACATCCACTACCCCTGACGCCGCCACCTCTACTGCTAATACATCTGCTGCTGAGAGTACAACGACTACTATTACTTCTACTGCATCCACACCTACCATGTCTACTGCCTCTGCAATCCCTACTAACATTACAACTGCCGCTTCCAATTCCACTTCCAATTCCAATTCCACTGCCGATACTACTTCTACTACTCCTACTACTCCTACTACTACTACAACAACTACAACTAGCCATACTGCAGATAATACAGTAATCTAAAAGAATAATTGCACGTTTTGACCATTTGACATAAAAAATAAAGCTAGTACTAGATTTTAATCCCTTTGATAAAAGATGTATATCACTTATAGAATTCCAATACAAGCAAAACAAACAACCCAGTATATTTTGGTTAACTCCACATACAAACTACAATAAAATCATTGTTTAATTGTATATCTGAGAAAGGTTGAGGAGAACACCTTTTTTTTTAGAATTTCGCTAGTTATATAGTTTATAAGTGATCAACATATGCTCAAGAAATATCATACGTCTGTGGGTTTTATACTGAGACATTCTGTCAGTTATGCAACTACAACCAGTCAATCGGCACCAATACATATATTTTAGCTAGGAAAGATTAAAGAGCCACAACTTGGGCCCTTGATACTACTAATTTTACAAGTGAGAAAGATTATACTGGATTAATCGATACAGAAAAAAAGATAAAAAGCAAACATACTTTATCATACACAATAAGCATATATACACACAGTACTATGACTTGAGTATAAATAAGTCTTTATCTTGGTTATTTGCAGGATAAGATAGAAAAAGAGAATGCAAGAAAGCGTGTGTGTGTAACCAACTAATTGAGCTTGCGTATAATGAATTCTGGCTAAGATCTTTACACTTGAGTAAAAGTTTTGAAAAGAAACAAACCTCGACATGCAGACAAAAAAATTCACAGGGCCTGATGTTAAAAAGGTTCCTTTGGTCAACTTTTTAACAGGCCAACCCTCAGCAGATCTTCTCCCCTCATCATTGTTTGCCAATGCGTCCAAGAAATTGTTTGAGATTCCAGGAACAGAAGATGCTGTTTTAAATGTGAGCATTTTCAACCGTCATTACTGAAAAAAAAAATGCTTATTATCTTTGAATCATAAAGTATGCTCCATCACTCGGTTCTCCAGATTTTCTTAAGAATCTTGCTAATTTCTTATCTGAAGAGTATCACACGCCTGTATACAAGTAAGGCGTACAAAAATTGATTATCCCTATTTATTTCTTAAATAATAAAATAAAAAAAGGCTTATAAAAACATTTTGATATTAGAGAACACCTGTGTGCCACACCTGGAGCATCTTTAGCCCTCGAGCATATTTTGGCATTGTTGACTAGACCACAAACAAGCACAAAATTTGCCATATTCCAAGACCCAACCTACCATCTCGTCTATGACATTTACAGAAATGTTGGGTTTAAAGACGACCAGTTTATCGGAATTCCAGAGGTTATTGATGGCTCTGGCCTTGATACAAAAGTACTCGGAAAATTCTTGGCGAAATCACTTCCTTTGGCAGATCCAAAAACCAAAGATGTTGAAGACTATGCAGCTGTCTTATATTGTGTTCCAACACACGCAAATCCCTCTTCATCAACCCTATCTTCTCCGCGTCGCAAGGAGCTAGTAGACCTTGCTCACCGTTACAATGTGCTGGTTCTATGTGATGATGTATATGACATCTTAACATATGAAGGATCAACACCTAGACGGCTAGTGGCGTATGATTTGGACATACCCGGAAAGGCTGTTGTAGTGAGCAACTGCTCGTTTTCAAAGATCCTTGCTCCCGGTGCACGTGCAGGGTGGATAGAAGCAAAACCTTGTTTGATTGAACGAGTTGGAGTTTGGTATGGCAGTTTTTTTTTTAAAAAAAAATACACTAATTACCAGGCACATGTGTATTTATTTGATATACGTTTTATGTAATAGTGGCTCATTTCATTCGGGGGGATCGCCTTCTAATCTTGGTAAAGTCATGTCAAAGATACGTACTACAATATGTTAACTTTTGTGTAGCCTGTCAGATAATCAACATTATGCTAGACACTAAGGACCCTAATCTATGTCTCCATCGTCACATACATACTTTACGTGATTTATTAGCCAAGCGCCTTTGGATTGGTCTTTGGGAGCCTATTCAGAAGCTTCTGGTACCCCTTGGCTGTCTTGCGGTACGACCAAAGGGCGGTTATTTTGTTTGGCTAAAGCTGCCTTTGGGCGTGAGCTATGCCCAGCTTGTCAAAACCATTGTCGATAATAAGATTCAGATCAGTCTCGGCTCTGGTTCTCTTTTCGGTGTACCCATAAAAAATGAAAACCGGTTGTGGGAATCTGATACCGATCGATATGTCCGCCTTTGTTTTGCTCGTTATTCTGTCAACGACCTTCAAGTCGGAATTTCACGCTTAGAAGCCGCTCTAAATCTAGCTCTAAATGCAATTTCCAAGAGAAGTATAAAAAATTAAAGCCGACCTTTTTATAAATCTCTGTACAGCTCTACTTTACTAGCTCTACTTTAAGAAGAGTTGTTTTATTTCGCACAAATCAGCTACAAGATATAAAAGAAAAATAAACATCGCGTTTTCAAAATCCACCTTTGCATCGAATATCAAGATAATCCTTATATATATACTTTTGTTAGTCTGGCATTCTGATTTAAATATATTAGTACACAAGGTACATATGCCAAAAATACAAAGCCAAAACACAGACTTTGCAATTATTAACTCCCATTTTAAACGAGTAAAGTGCTATACTAAAGACGTAAACAAAATATTGCGTGTAATTTATACTATTTGTGTATTGGAATAGGTTAAAGAAATATGAAGTTGACTTTGTATACAACTTCGTATGCTTTTCTTTCATCCTTGAATATACATACATACATGCATATATATATTAAATTTGAAAACGTAAGTATTTATTCAAAATAAAATATATTATACAGTAAAAGAAGAAGAAAAATATAGAAAAGAAATATAGAAAGAAACATTCTACAAAGAGTCTGAAACAAAGAAGAATGTAAAAAAAAAGCTATACCATAAAGTAAAGGTGCTCGAAAAAAAACCATCAAGTAAATGTCTTATCTTATACTATGTTATATAAGATAAATTAAAGGTAAGAGAATAAAAAGCTAAACTAAATTCTTAGGGCTCACGAAAGTCCCAAACATTTGGGATAGTCTGCTCCATCAAAAGCCCCAGCATCGATTCGGCTGGCTGTTCGGACAACACAGGTTCAGTGGGTAATATGATATCTTGGAGCATTTCATCATTTTCTTCCAAAGATCTTTCATACGATCCATCTATAGTATTCCCATAGTATCCAGTAAAGGGTGGCATCTGTTGTTGAATAGTATTGCGCATTGCCATAGCATGTAGACTAGCCTTTGTACGTAATGGCCTAACATTTTTATCATGGGTGGAGCTCCCAGAAGAGATCGTGTGCCGTCTCGGGTATGCGCAAGAAGATTTTTCTGAAGGTACAGTCTCTTGCTTTTCTGGTAAATGCTCCTGGGTCACTGTCTCTGAAAAATCTTGTAAGTCTAAGGGCACGAAGCATGCATCTTGTGTACTTTCTGAAAATATATCCATAGAATCTTGGTACATTGCCTCACAAGATATTGTTGGTGATGGAGGCTGAGAATAGCTAGGACTCGATGTAGTCTGCCCAGTCTTCCGATTGTAGTAGTGGTGGTGCATTGCTAGAGACTGGTGCTGTTGATATGCCTGGTATGCTGCATCAATTAAAGGCGCCGAACGTCGGTGATGCGCGTATGGCGATTGTCCGTGTGCTGAGTGGCGTGAGATTCTTGGTTTCACTAATGTGTCCGTATTCATTCTTGACGACTGGAAAGAATCGGTTGGAGATGGTGGTGCCAATGTCTCTTGCTTGATATGAAAATTTCCGTCTAACTGATGAAGAGACGAAGATCTGGCATGCATTCTACCCTTGGCCTTTGGTTCTGAGCACTTATTCCGCTGGCTTGACTTTGATCTTCCAACTATCAAGTTTGATTCATCATTTACTGCTATGGACAAGACTTTAGGCGCGAGCAATTCTTCAGTAATTTCTTCCTTGTAAGACGGGACCACTGGAGAGCTTATATACTGGAAATCGTCCCAAGATGAATGTTGAAGCTGCGGTACAAGAGCAACAGCCAAATTTTTATCCACATCCACTGCCGATGAGGCTGTGAGAAGTTTTTGGATCATCACCAGTGATCTCTCGCATGCTTGCACTTCAGGGCCTAGAGTCTCCTGCGGAAGGGAGCTAAAAGCGCGATATACGGTAACAGCTGCCGAAAGAAAATATACCACTTGCTGCACTCCACGCGACATGTAATCAAAGCATGTAATACCCCCTGTCTGTAGTGCATGCTCTGCTATTTGAGTAATAGTCAAGGCGGACAGCAGACATACTTCTTGTTGCTCGCAACAATCTTCGTGGTTGATCGTTTTTGAAAAAGCAAAAGGTCGGTTCAGTAAAATTAATAGACAGTGGTAAGCCATGTAGACAAAAGATAATATGTAGTCTCCTGAATTTAAGCATTCGCCTGTTGCGCTGGGAATATTTCCTAACGCAGACGATAACCCTGTGCCGAGGACATTGACTTCCCACTGAAGCTTTTTTAATTGCTCTTCTTCCGTTGAATGACCAGAGGTGTATTTTTTCCTAAGGAACTCCAGTACACTCGCTTGAATTTTAGCTATCTTTGTCATCCAGTGAAAGTGAAGAAGCATATCTTTTTCTGTGTTTTGTTGAACTTCGTCGGGTAATAAGGTCGGAAAATGTATAGTACATTGCTTTGGGGAAAAACTTGGCTGGCTACCTATTTCTAAGCTGAAAAGAAAAGAGAATTATACATGGATAAGTATATATATATATTAAAACATGTTCACAATAAATGTAATGGAGTATCAAAGGTACCTCATCCAAATATCATAAGTAAATACTGCCCAAAATGTTCTTCTCCTTTGCTCCAGTTCGTGCGGATTAGCTTGAATACCCTGCGGAAGTTCTTTCATCAACCCTAAATCTTTGCTCATGCGCGCAAGTAATTGGAAATAGTAGCGAGTACGCCAAAAGAAGCCTGTCTTTGAAATGCGTTCGTGGTATCTGATTAAGAGGAGTAAAGCTTGAACTGTTACTAGCCGTGGTGCATCTCCATGTTCGTCAAGTAGCTGACATGCCATTTGATAATAATGGTCGCTTTGTACATTTGCGCACCCAGGCTGATTTAGTTCGCACCATCTGGATGCTAGAGCATACACCGCACACAGTAGCATATTTGAGAGTTCAGTGGTAACTGCTGGCGCTTGAAAGAGATTTTTGTGAAGTATTGGCAAGAAAGGATGAACATATTCAAAGTATATTTGTACAAGATCGAAATCAACGGATACTGCTATCTGGTCAGGTCTTAGAGGTGTTTCTACGTCTGTAAAAGAGCGATAACATCCTGCGGATGAAGGCTCAGAAAGCACGATGCGATCCATCCTGTTGACCAATTCTCTGATGTAAAGCCCTTGGCCTGTGGTATTAACTCCAATACTAGACGCGTTCGATGAGTGCTGTTCGGGTAGGATTGTTGTCTGGGGCGAGTAGAAAAGTCGAGGTGTGGGATTGGTGGTTTCTAAGGATTCTACCATCAATTACCTAAGTAGATTTTCTGGAGTTACTTACTAGATATTGGATCAATAAAAAGAGACCATGTTTGTTGGAGCCCACTAGAGGAGGTAGTAGGAAAATATAGTTGCTGACCAGGATAAGACAATGAATTTTCGTCAGAGAGCTCGAGTTGATTTGCGGAAGACTCGGATGAGTCAAGAGTTAGTGCATCGAGAATACTCTCTACTCTTCGCAGTCTTGGCTCAAGCGTCTCTACATATTGTTTTGGAGGACCTCGTTTTGGCGCGATCTTTGAATATACACATTGAAATAGGGCCTTTCTGCACCGAACGCACGGTTGACCTCCATTGCAGCGGACCTGTAAGAAGACAATGTGAGTCTGAGGTGCACAGGCCTTTTTTGAGTTTTCTGAGGTGACAACAATTTCACGCTCAGTGAAACTTGGCGAGTCCAAGGCAAGCGTGTCCTGTTTTCTTCAGGCGCCAGGAACACAATAGGGCAAGGAAGGAGCCAAAAGGATGAAAATGTGGAGAGCTTGCCTTTTTTCGGCGACATTCGTCACAGGCCCGAGCAACCTTGTTTTTCTTGACATGCGATCGCTCTGCTGATTGCAACTCATGAGGTTCAGGTGTAGATGGTGCTGATTCCTCCATACTTGCATAGCCGCTCTTCTTGGTCTTGCTCAAACTTCCACGCCTGACTTATAAATGAATGAGAGAAAGAAAAGAATAGGAAATGAAGGTGCGATAGACACAAGAAAATGTTGTGTGTTCGTGTTTAGCAAATAGCTTGGTGTGTTCCGAAAATTTTGAGTTGAGTTTCTTTTTTCTTTTTCTTTTTTTCTTTTTTTCTTTTTTTTTTTTCGCTTGTAGCTCCCATCCCGACTGTCGGCTAAGGCTCATGTATTGAAGCTCTTAATAAACTGCTCGTTTAACGCACAATAGTACTGATCTCATTCATAGCCAAGAACCCTCGTATTTATGATATTGACTGGCCTATTTTTGAGCTTCCAAATATTGGCTGAAGAAACAAGTGGAAGAGAGAATGTCCACACGCCAGAAAAGTGTCACAGAAAATATAGCCTACAATATTACCACACAAGTGTTTTTTCACCATCAAATCTAGAGTAGAATAAAAATAGATTTTGCGAAATATAGAGTAAATTTTGCGTCGAAAGAGATATTTACACCAATGGGAAAGCACGGTAGCCCTGGGAAGAAGTAAGTATATATTTTAAATAAATATATATATAAAAAAGTTTTCTATATACATATGTATGTATATGTATATATTATAATCGCTATACATTTACCCGCACTGTAGAACCGTTTTGCGATAGATAAAGTCTACGAAAATGAGTTTTAAATAGACATTGACAAAAGTCAAATGTGAAGACTTTGGGATCAATTTCTATATGAGTAGGTTTTTAGTACCTATTTGGAACGTAAAACAAGGGTCTAATTTATCACACATATCTTTAACATATACACAAAGCCATGCTATGTCTAAAATTTACAAACGTTTGTTTTTAATTAGTATTGTAGGTCAAGTTTACTGAAATATTTTGTTACTGTGAGTTGATATTACAAGACACTTTGAGAATAAAAAAATGTTACAAGTATTACTAGTTGGTAAACACATTTGTCAACATATATTGATATGGTTTAAAAATTTGTACAAAAAGTGGGCTCTCTGAAATATTTACTTGACCATTGAATTTCCACTATGGGAATTGAGTGGTGATTCTGATGGGGATTTTGAAAAATGCCTATGGTACTTTCCAAAATTACCTTTGGGGTAGTCACTTTCTTACCATATTATTATTCTTTTTTTATATTGTTTTTATTTCACTCAAAGGTTTTATTTTTTTTAAAAAAAAAAAGACGGCAAAAAATAATTTAAATTTTTTAAAGCAATAATACAAAAGGTGTCTGGTATAATGTACTAGCAAATCACTGTTCAAAAAGTATTCTCATTACTCAAGCAAATCAAGCAAATCAAGCTATATCAAGCTATATCAAGATTGCTTTTAAAGTGGCAATACATTTTGGTTTAAGAAATAAATAGATGGCCTGCTTTTTTTTCACTATCGTAAAACTTTATTCCAAACGCAAGTTTAATTTAAAAAAATAATTAACGCAAAAAAAAGTATTTCTTATAATATCTAAGCTTCAATACGAGAAGAAGAAAAGTCGAATACTCAGGCTTGTACTGTCAAAATGTCCTTTATAGTCCTTGGATCTATTTGATGTTTGCATGGTAGGATGTACACCCATTTTATACATTGGTACCCTGCCCGCATCTGGTACTGACCTAATAAAATGTCTTTTAATATCCAATTACAGGTTAAAGATTGTATAAAGTAATACCATTGATCCACTTGAGCTTACTTGATTATGACAAACTATACAATAATAACAATATACTTGTTGGCCTTTCATTTTCTAATTAATTTGATCCAGAAATTTTTATTTCGAGTTCTTAATAACTGTGTTTCTTCATAATGAATCAGCCAATGGTTTTTTTCTGAAAATTTTTCTATGCTAGCTACTTATTTACTTGCTGTATAATTGTATAGTTCTTTTTTCTCTAAACAAGAACAAAAACAAAAGCTTACTACACTATCAATTTTCCCATACAAAAACATTGGGGCCTACAAATAGACATAATTAAAAAAAATGAATAACCTCTATCCCCCATTAAAGCTAAGCCTCGAATAGACAGGAAAGCAAGTCTTAAAGTGACGTGTGAATCTGGTGGAAGCGATAATTGAGAGGGGTCCCACCTTGTTCTTGCCCTATTATTTTTTCGAGAGCAGTTCAAGCAAGACTCGTCTAATCATGTCCCTTAAATTATTGACGACTTCGATGCTTCTTGGACGAGTGTTGGCCGCACCTGTCAAGGGCTCCCTCTGGGCTGCTGCATTTCATTCTTCTTCCTTCCAGGCTGCTGCAGCACCTGTCTGGACTTCTGACTCTGTTCGTACTGGTGTCATTGCACGAAAGAAGGGCATGACTTCCATGTGGGATGAAGCTGGATCCCGCCTGCCTGTCACTGTTCTTCAGGTACACACACATAAACATTCACACACAATGTGGTGACTTTACTGGCTAAGCTGACGGACTTGGCTACTGACATTCCTTGTTTTCCTGCACTTACAGCTGGAAGACGTGATTGTGACCGATATTCGCACAAAAGAAAAGCATGGATATTCAGCATTGCAGATTGGCTCGACTACAAAAAAGGAGAAGAATGTATCCAAGCCCCTCCGCGTACATTACGAAAATCTTGGTGTTGGACTGCGCGAAAAGGTTGCTGAATTCAAAGTATCAGAGGATGCTATTTTGCCTATTGGTACCGAACTCAGCGCATCACACTTTGTTACCGGTCAATATGTCGATATCACAGCACCCTCGTACGTTTATATATATATATATATATATATATTGTCTGGCGAAAATATCCTGACGCTGGTTTATGTTTATTTTATTTTATTTTATTTAGGATCGGTAAAGGATTTGCAGGTGTTATGAAGAGATGGAACTTTGCTGGTTTGCCTGCTTCTCACGGTGTGTCACTGACTCATCGTTCTGGTGGTTCTACTGGTCAGCGCAAGGTAATGCATATATATAAATATATTCAATTGTGAGAAAGATTTTACAAAACATAATGCTGAAAATTTCCCATTGTTTAATAAATAGTGGCCTAGTAAAGTTTTCAAAGGAAAGAAGATGGCTGGTCGTCTTGGTGGCACAAGCGTCACTGTGCAAAGTCTTAAGGTTAGTTTGACTTGGAGAGAAAAGGAATGGTGGTTCAATAGGACAAATAATTGATATGTATTTATGTATGCATTTATCTAGGTATTAAAGGTGGATCCTGAGGAAAACCTTGTTTATATCAAAGGATCCGTTCCTGGATTTGATGATCAGTTTGTCAAGATCAAAGATGCTGTCAAGCTGAGAGGAGAGAAACTCTTCCCCAAGGAATCAATGCCACCACCGTTCCCTACTGTGAATAAACAATAATCTGATAGACTCATGTAAACAATAAACACTCCCGCTCCTACTACCACTGTCATTACCATTGCCACCACCACCTACACATCCACCCATTCATACTCACTCACACAAAAGCGATGAAGAGGCTATCATATATATATTAGAGAGGATATGCTATTTCAAGAAGGACATTGTTGTTATATTCACTGGATATTAAATGGGTATCTGTATATACATTTCTGGGAATACTAGAGTACAATTGATTAATAGAGACGTGTAAATAGCCGATATTATTTCAATGTATGTGTGGTTTTTATTCAAGAGACTGGGATTCTTTTTGGCCAGTTGCTGTATTATAATAAGTGTGTTTGGTTCAATGGCTTGGTTACAATACTATAAACTGTAGGTTAAGAATACGGTAAATAATTAAAATTAGCAAAAGAAATGGCAATTCGGTATACAAGGAATATTCAACAATTAGCAAGATATAAATTATATTTTATCCGATAGAAAGTGTCCTCGTCTTTTAAAGTATATTAAAGTATATTATTGTTATTATTATTTAAAAATAAAATGAAATGCTTAATCGGTGATGTAAAGAAAGAAAGAAAGAAATAAAGAAAGAAAAGGAATTAATATCTTGTGTATGTTTTATCAGCTATTTTGAGTATGTTTGTTATATTTATATATAGAAAATACAAATAAACACCGAGTTTATTTGGTTGACTATGAATCTTAAACAAACATCTCTAATGTTCAGTAAGATTACCTTGAACAAATAATTCAAAAGGTCGATCTAGCGATGATCTTTGAGACTCTTAAACAGAAATAAAATAAAAAAATAATGTCTGCAGAGAATCAGAGACTATAGAAATAATGACTTTTGAATTGTACTGATTTATATGTATATGTATATGTATATGTATATGTATATTTATCTTTGGTGAAAGAGTGACAGAAACAAACAAAAACAACAAGAGCAACAGTAATGATTCTTGGAAGAAATGGGCGAAATTGTGTGTTTGTATTTGGAGGGAGAAAGGAAGGAATACGATGTGTGTGTTTATGGGCTTGTGTATTTGTATGTTTGTATATTTGTGTATGGATAAGGTGAGTGGGTCGGCGACCGTTAATGAACAAGGAAGTAAAATGGGGGTTGCATAGAGGACTAAAATGTTGATTTATTATTATTGTTATTATTATTGTTATGGTAAATGCGTGGGAATCCCATACCTTTTATATGACCGCCCTTTTTCTTTCTTTCTTTTCCTTAGGTGCATAGCAGCTAATTTTGACATTTTGGCGGATTATTCAAGGTGCATATTGGAAGCAGAGGTGCAGATTCCATTATTAGAAGCCCTACGAAAAGAAATGCCAAGAGATACGCACAGAATATATCGCCAAAAAAAATACAAGGGAAGAATTATCTTGAACAAGATTACGGCAATTGTCTCCGAGACAATTATTAGGACCAAGTTAATTTTGGCTTGGTGTGCCATTTGAACAAGGGGGAGAAGGAGAGAGGAGAGAGAGAGAGAGAGGGGGGGGGGGGGGGGGGTGATACTGTCGATCAAATGGGTATAAAAAGGATTTTTTCCTTTATTTTATCAAGGTTGAAACGGCTGTTTTTTTTTGGAACAAATATATACCTACCTTACAAAGAAGGGGTTAAATCCTCCTATGGACTTCTTTATGCACTCTGTAAACGAGGGGGGCATTGTAGTTTAGAGAAGATAGCCCAAAACCATAATAATAATTATATATATATGTATATATAGTATTGATTTTTCATTATCCTATTAAAATTGTTCATATTTTTGTGATATTTATATTTAAAGCATTGGGTTTGTTTGTTTGATACTCAAAAAGGGGTATATTCTACATAGTTCAAGAAGCTATTTTTCAAGATTAATAAAACAAACATACAAATGTTTGAGTGTGTAAAACACTCTTGTTTTAAGAAATAGCTATATCGAGACTGGTGACATTTAGCCACTTCAACGCAATACCACAAAATTAGAAAGCGAAACATCGAGAGCTTGGTTATGTATCAAACAAAAAGAAAAAGCAAAAAGTGTCCTGATAAATCTTTATATATATATACATATATATCTTCACTCAAATGGCTGACATGAAACTAATTGAATCAAACACCCTTTAATGCGCATGCATACATAATTCTACCGTACCTATTTGGCACTTGGGCCTGGTTGGTGCCGTTGGTTATTAAAGACAAATATAGCGATCTCTACATTATTTATTTTCTTATATTATATTCTTATGAGATTCTACACAAATATATATATATATATATATGTATATGTATATGTATATGTGTATGTATGTATGTATCGTACTCTATGCTGCCTATGCATTGGGTTTAATCTACACTACACATATGTCTTTCTTTCATTCTCCTTTTGGAGACCA